GAACGCGGCGCAGGTGTCGCTGATGCTCGGGGGGCGTACAGCCGCTGCCTCGTCTACATGTCTCACCTAGGACACACCTGGAACCTTCTCAATGACAGGCATCGTAAGCCGTGCACGCGCTTGGGCTGCTGGGGCCGCTAGGCAGCAAAGCCATGGCAGGTTGAGGTCAAACAGCTGCCACAACAAAAGCAGGTACACGTAGTCTTCCTTCCTTCGTGTTGTGATTTCCTGTACATTCCATGGCCCCCCCACTGTGAGCTCCAGAGTCCCCCGCGGTCGAAGCATTGATGTCAAGCAGCTGCGACCTGTCAGCGCAGAGGCTGCGAAAAATTCGGACACGACTACCGGCAGGCTCACAAGGCGTGCCTCAAGTGCCGAAGAGTCACAGCCAGCTCCTGTTTCCTGGCTGCTCGACATCTCTCAAGCATGCGGCAGTAGAGATACCGCCGACCGTGTGGCTTCTATATGTGTCCCAGAATTCATCAAAACCTGAAGCCTCACAGGCAAGCCAATGAAGAGGCACAAGACTCGACAGACTTTCTCATGTTCGACATGTGCATCCACACCCGGTCATAGCTATAGTTATGAGGCATAGTTTGCCACAAGGAGAGTTTATCACATGTTTTCCGTCCTCCAGTCATTAGACCTCTCGGCTTCTGCCAGCCTGCAAAATCAAGATCCAAACGCGAAGTGCTGCCCATTCCACATAACTTGGGAAGGCTAAACCTTCTGAGGCAGGGCACGAGTGCTCGCAGGCTCGCATGAGCTCGTTCTCTGCCGGCACCGGCGCAGGCACACTAAGCACCTGGCACCTGGGTCCACTCCATGTCTGGTGCGCTCCAACCCTAACGGCCCTAACGGCCCAACATCTCATGGAGCACCCGGACAGCTCAGCAGGCGCCGAGGATGCAAGAAGCCGAGACACCTTTGAAAAAGGGGTGGAAAACAGTAAAACAGGTGAGGTTTCACGCTGCTACAAACGGGGGCCTCTGACTGGCAACTCCACTAAGGACCTGACGACCTGCGGAGCATAGCTGTCCTTGGCCACACTGATGCTCTGTCGCTTGACAAACCAGACTGCAAGTATGTGCATCCGAAGCTGAACTCCCAGTAGGAAGGCTTCCAGCATCACTTTGCAACACAACAACACATTACGAAAGCACGTCATTCTCCAGAAGCCCTGTGCGTAGGTTCCGAACCGTGAGGCCGTAAACCACAGAGGGGCGAGGCAGGCCTCTGGCACCTGATGTTTTAGGGTTTAGGGTTAGGGTTTTGGGTTTAAGGTTTTTACATGATGGCATCTGCCTCGAAACAAAAACAGACAACAGAAAGATGAGCTTGGGGCCAGGAAGTGCCGCAGATGAGGAAGGATGAGCTGGCAGGAAGAGGCACAGCACACATCGCTCCCACATCATCACTGAAACCGCCCTCAGTGTTCGGGCATGTTTTGGCTACAAGTGTCCGAAGGCTGCTTTTGTTCGGCGGTCGCGCAATGTGAGGAAGGGAAAGAAAGCCGCTGCTTCAACAGCCCGCCAGCGATTGTTGGGTGGCAAAGACACTTCGTCAAGATACCCCAGGAACTTAGTCTTGGCGTCTTGCCACTGCAGTGGACATGCTGGACCTCGTCTTGTATTACGTGTCTGCTTCGAGAGCTGTGAGGTGGGAGGCTCCAAGGTGCACAGAAAACCGACCGATCGCTGGGAAAGCGTGGCCTGCAGCGCCGCTCCGCAACAGAAGCCTGAGGCAGAGGCACGAATTGTCGTTAAAGAGGAAACAACGTCAGCTTTTGCCGCTTCAGCTTATCCTACGCTTCCTGGCAGCTCACTGCCCGTGCCACGTTTGCTCAAAAAAGTCTTTCCAGCTTACATCGAAGAAGGCTCATTTCAGATCTCCCGGTGTTCAGCAGGCCTTGGCTGTTGCTGCAGCTGCTGCTGAAAGCCAATATGCCGAGTCCTGGGTGGAAGCATTCTTCACAGTTCAGCTCTCGCATTCCAGCTGCCGGCTTGCAGCTGGGTGTCTGTAGGCGCGGTGTGCTCGGCAGGCTCGAAAGGCTCGGAGTGTCGGGCCTCACGCAGCTCAGCCAGCAAGAACTTTGATCCGGAAACCGTTGGTCAGCAATAAAAAGATGAGGCTTGCTCAAATCTGGACAGCCTTGCCCTCATCATGGCTTGTTGACTTCGCTGAAAGCTAGGGCGAATGCTGTGGGGACCAGAAGGCGCGGTCCACGTCGCACAGAGCATTCTGTGAGTCCCTCCTGGCCGCTGTCAGATCCATCGAGATCAGGCGGAGGATGTGCCTACAAAGATGGATTGGGTTTAGGGTTCAGGGTTTAGGGTTTTTTTTAAGCACCTTTTTCCTCCTAGCAGTTAAGGTCGGAGGGTTTAGGGTTGCCAAGCACTGCGTCTTGTGTCGTTCACGATACTACGGTGAGACTGTCAGGCAATAAAGGACTCAAAGGATGTACATGGCCATCATGGCATCGTGCAGCTTCCAAGCCCATGGCCCCGTGGGCGAATCCGCCGAGCGAAACCTCCTTAGCAACGCTTGGCAAAGCTGGGGAGGGGCATGCCATGGTCTTGCTCTACACTGGCCTGCACTGTGGGGCGCAGATGACATTCGAATCAGTGGCTCAAATGCGGTGGAGGCGTGCGGACAAATAGGAAGGATCCAAGAATCTTCGCACCAGAGCAGTAGTGAGCGTAACAGAAATTCTTGCAAGGCTGTGTGCCTACTGCTCAGCATCTTCACCTATTCATCGCGTTTGACTCGGCTCGACTTGGGCACCCGGGCGACAACACAGAGCGCGTTGGTGAGCACGGCGACGGCCGCCCACCTGAAGAGCGAAACCAACGTCCAAGCAAGCCGATATCGCACTCCTGGCCCGAGCACACCAAGGCAATGCCGTCACCCTCGAATTAAGTCCGGGGCTGCTCGCATCGCTACAGACACTCGGCAGCCTTGCAGCAGAAGCCTGGCAGCAGAAGTATCAGTTATATTAAACTGTAGTGTATCATATATACTAAATATTATATACATATATATATATAATATATTATATACATGATATATTATACCTGCGCGCGGCATCAGCATGCAGCCGTCTCCGGCAAGTCTCTAACGACAGGCGCCTCTGCTGGCTTTGCCACTTGGGCCTCACGGTCACTAAGGGGGGCCGGTGCCGCAACCCAGCAGCACAAGGAACATCTGATAGCATTGCCGCGGATACAGTTTCAGGCGACATTCGGGACTTTCGCAAATGAGATACTTTGCACTATCATAGTGTTCCCCGTGCCTCAACCAAGCTGAGAGGAAGCGGCGGCACATGCCTGATGCACTCTGAATGCTGGAGCTAGGCCCGTGCTCAAGCTTGCTGAGTGTGCCAAGCTTCTCACATGAAACAATAAAACAAAAAGCAGGTAAAACAGAATGGAACAGAACAGAATAGAATAAAATAGAATGGAACAGAATAAAATAGAACAGAATAAAACAGAATAGACTAGAATAGAATAGAAAGGAAGGGATTGCAATAGAACAGACCGGAATAGAAAATAGCATAATACGACTCTTCAAAATGCAATACAATGTTATGTAAAGTATTGTCATATCTAACACAATAACATAGTAATATTCATACACGAAAATGAGAATTACGAGACATAATATAAACATGTATGGTAGAATATCGCATAAATATCATAATAGCAATAGTAATAATAGCAATAATAATAACAAGAATGACAGTAATAATATAGGCGTTATCCGCATTAGTATATAGACATTACAATGCATAGTACACTCATATACCACTATACTCATATTCCTATATACTAATATACGAACATAGAAATCTGCTAACATACTAAGATAGTAGTGTATATCGTAAAAAAGATATCATACAATATACTATACGATGATATACACTGTAGTATGTTACAGTATACCATATATTATATTACAATATATTATACTACAATATACTAGAACGTACTATAATGCTTAAGAACTAATGTTGTAGCGATACAACAAGAAGAAACTGTAAAGTATATAGTATAGAACATACAACCTTATCTATAAATATACATATGTATATGTAAGTGTGCTGGTGTACAAAGCATATAGAACATAGAACATAGAATATGTAACATAGAACATGAAATAACGACATAGATATATAACATACATATAGCAATATACAAATTCATAAAACAACCTGTATATATATATATAGATAGGTTGATAGAATACACTATGTTAAGACGAATACAAAATATGCTATGTATCATGTACGATATGTGTGTGTGTATATATATACATGCATATTACATAAGAAATATCATATTAACATACGACTTATAATGTATGAACAATGTTCAACATATCATACATGACGCAGTAAATACACAAAGCAATCAAAACAATATACAGAATGTCACATATATACTATATTGCATACATTGTAAGATATGCTATATAGCCTGATATGTTACTATATATAAGAATATAAGACAATGAGGGAGCTCCAAGCACACGTGACATCCTTGCCTCGGCTCCGCCGATGTTGATCTACTCAGATGTCCTGGTTTGACTGGAGAGCAGGGAGATTGTCCAAGAGGATACAGGAAGCTGTTATATAAGCATTTTAGGGTTTAGGGCTACTTTGCGAAGCTGCAATTCACTTGCGCAGCTTTGCGCCTGCAGAGCCCGCCGACGGGCTGACATCCCCGTCTCCTGCAGCAAGAAGACTTGCAGACAGCGTGAACCTTCTCATAAAATGGCATGACAGGCTGTTGTCTGAGACGCTCCAAATGCATCTGGAGGCCTGCTTCGGCCGTCTCCGCAGTCTCTTCCCTGTGGAAGGCTGGCGGACCACCGGTGCCGGCCTGGACGAGCAAGGGAGAGGCGCGCGACCCCGACTCTCCCAAAGGCCATGGCCCTGGCCTCAGCAAGGCGCCAGAGGCGCGAAGCCGGAGATGCAGGGACGGAGCCGCCCCCTGCGTGCCACAGAATCTAAGCAAGGGAACAGCTGTGATGCACGAAGAGTTGGGTCACACCCATGGCCCCGTCTTCGGCCTGTGGCCGAAGCCACGGGAACCTGCGGCAGCACGTGCTGACCCTTCGCACAGACTCAACGTACGCGGCATCCTGAATCATCCCAGAGCGCAGCCTAGCGCAGCCGGCCTCGGCACTGCCAGGTGTACCCGAGCAGGGCGACCAGTTGCCTTTGCAGGGCATCATTGCTTCATTGAAGCGATGACACTGAAGTCGGTTAACACATGGGTTCACTAGATGTCACAGTTGCATATCTGCAACCCGCGCGTGTCTGGAGATGTCATTCTTTCAACTGCCCTCCAGCCTGATCCGCTTGCCGCAAACGATGGTACGCCCTTGGTGTCAGAAGAGGAAGCTGGCTTAAAAAATCGAAGGCACCTTGCAGAGAACCTCTTCGGAAATCTAAGCGCGCAGCAGGCAGTTGAACTGCATCTTGGGCCTCCAAACTCATGCGCTTCCAGCTCCCACCATCAGAAAACAAATTGGGTGTAGGGGTTTAGGGGTTAGGGTTTAGGGTTTAGGGTTTAGGGCTTAGGGTAGGGTTTAGGGTTTACACTTTACAGAAATAACTTCGGAATAGCACTGAAAAATGGGTGTAGAGTTTAGGTTTCCGGTTTACAGGAATTACGTCAGAATAACACAGCTGACTTCCACGCAATCTGCCGCAGCTATATAGAGGCACCTCTCGTCTGACCTTTGCCAACTCCGCATGCCCGGACATCTCCAGGGCCTCCCAACAGGCAAGCAGAAGAAGAAGGAGAAAAGAATAACACTAATAGAAGTATCAATAACAGCAACAACACTAAGAAGAACACTAATACAAATGATGGTCATAATAACGATAACAGTAGCAATAACAACAATACTAACATCAGCAATAAGACCACGAATATTCATTGCTAATCTATTAAGTCACATTGGTGTCAATTGTAGTAATAGTAATAATAATAATAATTATTATTATTATCATTATTACTATTATTATTTAGTAATAATAATCATAATAATAATCACGTCCCTGCCCGAAACCCCAACTATCCCCCCGTCAGGCATTCAGACGAAAAGGCAGGGACGTGCCTGCTTCCACGAGCATCGGTAGTGCTCCATCATTGCCTGCACGGAGTTGAACTCCAAACCAAAACAGCCGGCAGATTTTGTCAGCGGGTCAGATGCGTTCGGGGCCATTAGGCAAGAACAGCCTTCGAGAAATGCCAGAAACTCAACCTACAAAATCGATCATCTTACAAAGCCAGCGAGGTGATCTTTTTGGCCCGCGTCACGGTACGGGAAACAGCTGTGATAAATCTCTCAGGCACGCCGGCACATCCAATCCTCTTGGCTCGAACTCCTGCAGTCCAGCCATGCGGTTGCCGAAAGCCAAGAGGGTTCATAAGCTCTCACTCATTCACACAGCTGCAGCAGAATGCTCACAAGCTCTCTCTCTCTCTCTCTCTCTCTCTCTCATGCTGCAGCAGTATGCTCACACAGATGAACGGCGAAGTTTGTTGACGAGGCTAACGTGAGGGTGCCCGGCACCTCGTAGTCGTCCTGGCCAACTACTCCTTTGTTGGGCAGAGCTTTGCTGCTGAAGCCTGACCCGCAAAGAGCGCCGTTAGGACAGACGGCTCGCATGAGATAGGTTGCACACTGCTACCGTCACCGCGATTCGCGCCTTGAGCTTGCCAGAACTTCACCTGCCAGAGGACTCGCCGAAGCTGAAAGAGCAAGGCAACCCTAAACCCTAAACCCTAAACCCTAAACCCTAATGAGCTGGCCTGGTGCTGGATGTGGGTTCCTCCTGCATACAGCACCAGGATGAGCTGGGACTCCTCGGGAGCCTTGAGGATGGCCTCCGGGCATCTGGGAGCAGGCCAGGCACATCTCATGCTGCCTTTGGTTTGGTGGCATTGCCTTTTTTTCGATGTGTCCCCCTGTTTCTAGGTTTCGAGCAGAGCTCCGCCGTCGGGCCTCAGCTGTCCGCAGGACGGCGGCCACGTCCACTATGCCTCGGATCAGGTCTCAGTTGAAGCAGAACGACTCAAGCCGATGAAACTTGCAATACATCGAAGAGCTGAGCTGTGCAAGGCACACAAGAGGAAGGCGTCGATCAGGATCTTTGCAAGCACCCGCTCCCGACGAGTAGATATGCGTTCGTCTGGGTCAAACCTCGCGAGGCAGCTTTTGCCCCAAACCCTCATTGCACCCTCGAGTCTACTACTGCAAGACAGGCGGAACTTTAGAGTCGGCGGTGCTGCCTCTCTAACTCCGCGAAGGTGTCTGCAAAGTTCGGGATGGTGATGTCCTTCAGCCTTTACACTTGAGGTATGCTGCTCGCTGAAGGAGCTGCTCTCCACTTACACATCTGTCAGCTAGGTCTGTGGTAAGATGCACAAATGCTGGCTAGATGCTTGTGCCGGTGTTTCTTGCTGTTTGGCCTTTTCTCGCTCGGGGCAAAGTCCTGAAAAGCTACAATTCCGGGATGCCAGATGACACCAGATGGGGGCATGAAAACATGATGGTCCAGCTTGCGCAACTCGGCAGGGTCGCTGGAATCCACATCGGCATAGATGTCTGGGAACACTTCTCGGAGCCAAGCCTTCACGCGTCTTCGCGCTCGAGCTTCACGGGCGATTAGCACAGGCAGACGAAGACACGCATGTCCTCGAAGTAGTCACCGTCTTCGTCAGCATTCTTCGGGTCGGCCAGTAGCTGCTCCACCTCAAACGGCCATGCTTCTAACGTCTAGGTCTAGAAGGCAGCACCCACACCCACCCCCACGCCCGCGTGCCTGGATGCCGTAAGCAGCTTGAGCTGCCGAGACGAAGGCCTCCCCACCTGCTCGAGAGACTCGCTCGGCCAGCCCGGAGACCCACGTGCGCGGTGGGCTGGACCTCCAAAACCGAAAGGGCTTCCATGTGAGAGGCTGCATCAGTCAGTTCCAGCAGAAAGTGCATAGTTCTGCGCAGCCACCCGCCAGCTTTCAGGTAGCAGTCGACCGGCAAGGCCTCCCCGAAGCCCGAAGAAGCAAGCCGAGAGATGAAACATGTACTGGTAGAAGCCTTCACGGCAATCGGTGGTCTCTCACGTGGCCGACGCTGCAAAATCGCCCCCGGAGACTCCTGCCGTTAAAGTGAGGAACGGAGAGAGCGGATCTTGGTTGATTCAATGGCCTCATAGGTAAGGGATCGAATGCGCGCCAGGGGCCTCAGCCACTCAACCTGCATCCCTGCGGATTCCGTCCCGTCGACTCATGTGAGGCACCGGGTCTGCTCATCCAGCTGGAGCTCTTCGCAGGCTTCCTGAATCGGCTGTGCTGACGTCGCTCTATGCTGTCTATGCTCTTGGCATCTCTTTGCTTTGCGGTCTCTCCTGTACTGTACCGAAGAAGAGCCGATCGAAGAAGCTCCGCAGCTTCTCCGGGGATTTCACACACCTCGCAAGGAAGGGCGCATAGTCGGCCTTCACCTGGGCAACTAAGAACATCCACCAGGTTTTGCGCATCCGCCCGCACCTCCGGGTGGTAGTAGAGCAGGTCAGCGGCAGCGCCGAAGAAGGACTCGAAGGACGGCAACGCCGGAGGTCGAGTCTCGTCTTTGCAGGGACTCCCAAGCGATGGGATGGGCTCTCAAAGACTTCGAAACCCGGATCGCCTTGCGTTGCCTTCGGAGCGGCCTTGAAAAACAGCTCTTCCTGCCAAGCCATTCCGATTTGTTCAACAGTGTTGCACTTTCCACGATTCCCGTCACCCAATCTATCCTCCTCTGCATCTTTCATCAGCGGATCAATGCGCAGCCTCCGGAAGGATTCCCGGAGGTCAAGGTCTTCGCTGCCCTCGGCATGTGAAGCTCCGTGAAGCTCGATGTTGCTTCAGACATCTTCTCACTTGTGCTAGCGGCTAGCAGCTAGCCTCGCCGAGCTCACGCGGATCCATGCAGTGCCTCGCGGCAAGAGCGCAGGGAGAGAAGTCGAGAGCAGTGATTTCAGCCGTGCCACAGTCGTTCTCGAGGAAGGATGCTCTGCAGCCGTCGGCGAAGGTAGTCAATGTAAGCATCGCTCCTTGGGCTTGGGCGATGCTTGCAGTGGCAGTCCGCAGTGGCTTGCAGGGATGTAAGGCCAAGCTGCCCTCCGTCGTTCTCGTCCTCACTATCTGAATCTGAATCCAACTCCAGTCGCCGAAGGCTATGGTGTGCCAACGGAGCAGATGGCACCCCTTCCTGACAGGTACTGCGAAGCTTGCGCTCGTCGAAAACTGGGCAGACGCGACTTACTCGGCGAGTGCATGGTCCGTATCGCTGCGTCTTTCTACTTCATCCTGTGGTGTCTGCTACGGATCCTGTCTCCAGTATTCTACAGTCGCACTTTGTCGGGAGGTAGTGGTACATTGGCACACACTTTGACGACTCTGTGTGTCTAATGACTGCCCTGTTGATGGTGCGAGCAACACACGGCGGCAAGCGTTGACGAGCTGCCTCGATGTGGAGCTCCACCTCATCAGCTGGTATCGGTGCTTCCAGCACCACTTCGATCGGAATGTTGGACGACCTGCTCCAGAAGTATGGTTCCAGCCCTCGTTAAAAGGAAATTTGATCACGCTGTCAAGTCTCTCGATGTGGCGAACCAGCCAATCGTCGAATATCTCCAAGCCTTTCACAGTGAGCACCGCATAAGAACGTAAGAAAAAAAAAACACTTCCCCAGCCTTCCGCTCGTCTCTGTGCCTTCCGCCTTTCGAGGAGGGTGTCCAGCTCATCCACTGGCATGTCCTCGAAGCTCCGAACCGTTCTGAGGCTCTCTGAGGCGAGAAGAGGCTCGAATTCACCGCTCATGTACAAGAACCTCGCAAGGACGAGCAGGCTAGTGGTGTTGCATTTTCGCCACTCCTGACCATCTTTCCGGCGACGGCAGAAGTGGCGCGCCTCCTCCCGGATGCTGTGATGGGCTAGGAGTACGTCAGCAGATGATAATAATAATGATAATAATAATGATACTAACAATGATAATAATAATGATACTAATAATAATGATAATAACAATGGGCCGAGGTTTTAAAGCAGAACGTGACCGCATCCTCGTCCAGGTCGCCCCATTCGAAGGCCACCTCAGCTCCACAGGCAGTCCTGGCCTACTTGCAGGTTCATGGGTAGTTATAAGTGGGGTTATAAGTCCCCTAATATGGGTTATAAGTATAGTTAGCCTACTTATAACCCTATTTCTAACTATCCCTGAACCTCCAAGTAAGAGATTTCAGGGCAGTCCCGAACTCTGCCAGGCTGCGCAGCTCGGCGGAAGGGCGTAGCGGGGATGCCGCTCGGTGCCACGCAGAAAGATGTAAGCCGAGCCCTTCCCTTTCTTTTTGCCACCGTCAGCCTGGAAGTGAACGGATTAAGGGGTTTGGCCTAGCTTGTGGGCAGAAGCAGCGCGGAAGATCGTGCATGCAAAATACGTGTTGCGTACTACGGGCTTCTCAAGTTGATAGGCGGCGAACGATGAAGACGAGAATGGCGCCATCCTTCTCGACCTTGTTCTCTGGAGTCAGATCGTCCTCTTCTTCGGATTCTGTCTCGCTGTCGCTGTCGTCCTGCACTGTATGCGCCAGAAACACCCTCTAAAGCTGCTCACTAAAGCATCTGTCGTCAACTGTGCTGCAGTTTCGCCGCCAAGGAGCCTCCTCGCTTTCTTCAGCTTCGTCCAATGTCTCCTCTGCCCATTGCTTTGCTTTCTCCAGGGAGACGCCTCTCAGGAGCTTACGCACTTGCAGTTCGCACTCTGTCATCCGGTCGTTCGCAGTTGCCCCCTATCACAGAGCAAGCCCAAAAACAATCGAAACACAACTGGTCTTTATTTCCCTCCCCCCGAGTGCCTACCTTAGACTTCCAGGCATTGGCGATGTTGAAGCCAGTTGCATCAGCACCGGCAAGTTGGATCCAGTCTTCGTACCTGCAGACGTGGAAAAGGCGCAGTGCGGATTCCCCGCGGCCTCTCCTAAGCTGCGCACTTGTCAACAATGCCATCCTTCCGAGTAATGTCGATCGCGTCCTTACGTCGCAGCCCAGATCTGAGCAATCAACAACTCCCCCAAAGGCGCTGGAAGGCCTCATGGGCCTCGCTGCAGCAGATCAGCGCGACCTTTCGGCCATGAAGCTGACCTCGCAGCACCTCTCAGAGCTAGCCCGGTAAGGAGCTCTACCAGTACCAGGTAAGAAGGGCTCATGGACAACCTCAACACTATGGGAGCAAGCCTGGATCTTGCTCGGGCCACAAAGCTTGAGCGATTTCACCTGCGCAGTCTTTGGGGAGAAGCTTCGTGCTTCATGCCGCTTGCTGGATGGAACTACGTCCCTGAAGGATTCAATTCGAAATTACTTGCGGATCCTTGGCAACGGCATGCACGTAACGGCACTTCAGAGTAAACTCATTCGAGCCTTTCCCTTCCCGGAGCTTGTGCTCGCTGCACTTGGGCAGCCGCCCACATTGGCAGCACCTGAACCAAAGACAAAGTGTTTCTGAACCAACAAACTCCATGAGCTCAAGGCTGCACACACCGCTACACCACTCTTCCTGGTGCATTCATTAATGTACCGACCATTCAGCTATCCAACCAGTACTTGGCACATCCCCTTTTGTTCTTGGAGGTTCATGGGTAGTTATAAGCGGGGTTATAAGTCCCCAAAAATGGGTAATAAGTATAGTTACCCTACTTATAACCCTATTTTTAACTACCCATGAAACTCCATAAGTAAGCTCAAGCCACCTGCCATCAGCGGCTCGGCTCCACCCCCAGGTCGGGAACGGGAAGGGCACAGGCCCATGCAGTCCGAGTTGGACGAGCCGAGCTGGCCTAGTTGCTTCGCACAGAGAAGATACTCTAAAAGTCTAAAAACGCTTCGGTCTTGACGTCTCTAAACCTGTTATGTCTGGTGACGCTTCATGCTCAAACAGCTGCGGCGCACGAGGTACTGTGGAGTTTGATCCCCTTCAATATCATGGTCGCAGGCATCGAAAATCAAGTGGCTGCGGCTGCGTCACCCGCCTGATAGCTACACACACATTCGTCTGCTTCATACCAGGACGAGCAGCGCCCGTCCGTCCTGCACTGCCTAAACCCGAAACCCTAAACCAACCCCAAACCCAAAGCCTGAAGCCCAAACCCTAAGCCTGAACCCCAAACCCTAAACCCTGAACCCTAAACCCCTAAACCCCTAAAACCTCTAAACCCGGCCTGAACCCTGAACCCTAAACCCCTAAACCCCTAAACCCCTAAACCCCTAAAACCCCTAAACCCGGCGAAGAAGCAAAGGGCCCGAAGCGCCCAAATCCGCCTGCGCCTCGCCAAGCTGCCTTTCGACGATGGCGCGGCCCTCGGGTGCTCAGAATTCACCAATAACGATAGCTATAAAAAAAACTGTAACATACATCAAAAAACACGATAGCAAGAGTAGTAGTAGTAGTAGT